AAACCCATTGAAGTCAACTGTCTTCTTTCCATTGACTTCAGTGGGCTTTGGATTTGGCTGTCTGTCTCTTGAAACATTTCCAAAAAAGCCTAAGATAGAACCAGATGTAAGTGTAAAATGTCTGCTGTAATTTAGATTACACTAAAGCTGCATCCTCCGCACCCAGTCATCCCCGCTACAATGGACCTAATCCAGCTACCACTGATGAATGGGAGTTTTGCCACTTCCTTAAATGGAAGCAGAACTGGCCCCAAAATGTGGTAATCTATTTCTGAATAAAGAAACAGGTATATAGACAATTCCATTTCACAAGCTACATGCAGCTATCTATACTGTCTATTAATTTGAGCACTGATTCTTTCTTCAGTTAGACTTGTGTAAATCAAGAGAAACCCCACTGAAGTCAACAGAGTTAAGCAGTGAAAAAATGATGCAAGAAGAGACTGAGGCCCAAAGTTCCTAGAACTAAAATTGACTGTGGGAGAGAAGCTCTGGGGGATGCATTCCCAAAAACTGGAATAAATTACTAAATCCAATGAATCGGGCACCCATATTGTTTGGTTTAAGAAACATTTAATCTTTATTTTAAGGAACCATTCTTGCCTATATAAAATAATGTGGCGTAGGTTCTGTACTCTGCTAAGGTCCTTTTATATCGCCTTATGGAGTGGAAGGCAAATATCGCCGAGCAGGTGTAGCACAGGGTGGTACACAGCTCTAAACTGCTTTCTTGCATGCAGAGAGAGAAGGGAGGTGAGATAATATCTTTATTCGGACCAACTTCTGTTGCTAAGAGAGACAAGCTTCTTCATGCATGCAGTTGGGAGTGGCTGGAAAACACCAGTTATTCTGAGCTATCGAAGAGCTACTCTAACTTATGTCAGGAGGCCGCATTGGCCCCGATAGCTGCTCAAAATACGGGAAGTGCAGCATAGAATCTGGCCCTATGTCTTCTTAATGTTATAGTCATCTGCCATTTTAGACTGAGTGCCCTGCATTATACTGTTTCCACTGTAGTGAAATATGTACAGCTGTGTGGTTGATCTACCTATGACCAGCATGAAGCTGGATGTATATCTCATGAAGACAGTTGGCTCCAGCCCCTTGGTGGAGCAGTTGTACACATCACTCTGATGTGACCTCCCGCCCGCCCCCCTGCCCATAGAATGGCTTTCTGTCACTAGAGGCCCACACTTCGGGCCCAACTAAATCAACCCCTCAGTATTCATATGCTAGGGTACACAACAGAGAACAGAACACTCTACTCTGAAAATGCTGGTCTAGTCACCACCTTTGGCCAGATTGAGGACATTGACTAAAACATGGTTCGATCCTGTTCGATCTACAGTACAAGACTGATCCATTTTTTAACAATGTTTTGTGCTACTATTTTGTAACTCGATTCCCCAGCAACTCTCTGTAGTGTAGATGGGCCTAAACGGCTAATGTGGGGAAAGAGAGAAACCAGTAGAAAAATGCAAACTCACAGGGAACACAGAAATAGAAGTAAGGCCCCAGCAGATTGAAAACATGCCCACTGCCTGACTAGATCCTAGAACACTTTCTGTTTGGAGGAGTCTGGTTTTTTTTTTACTTTTCTGATCAAAAAAGAAGAGAAATGTGGTTCTGATTACTCTGAGCAGTGAATAACTGACCAATGAATTTCCAAGTAGGATTCCATTTTCACATCGCCCAATACAATGTTGTGAAAAGTTAATTGACATGATGTCTACCATCTGCCAAAAATATATATATTAAAAATAGTAGAGAGGATACTGAACATGATTTTAAAATGTGAAACACATGCTGTACATTGTTGTCCTATCAGCGATCAAGTTCCTGGCATGTGTCATTAAGTTGTTAGACTTGTGGGGGTGGCGGGCGGGTTTAAGTAGTCATTCACCGTGATTATGTTTGACTTGAGGAGTGCAGTGTTACAACAAGTGAACAAGAAACTTAGGCATTATTCTTCAATTTTTAGGGAAAGGGGTACATTTATGATAGATTATTCAGATGGTTTCAAATTTTTATGTCCCCTCAAAAAGAAAAATAATTTCTGAAAGGAATATTTCTTACAATGTCTTTAATTTCATGACAACCTAGCCACTTAGAATGCAAAAAATATTTATAGTGTCCAAGCATGTAGAATGCAGATTACAGGACAAAGAGAAAGACAATGGCTCAGCCTCAAAGAAATTACAATCTAATTTTAGATGTGGCATGATGGCAAAGAAGGTAACAAGAAGTAGGGAAAGAATTCGTGAGGTAGGAAAAGGGTTATGCTAATAAGATTATGTGGTTATGTATATTTCTAGAGGATTCAATTCAAAGTTTATATTTTTGTTTAAGTAATGATGATTCTTGAGTCGCTTCTTTTGGTCATTGCAGAAGTGAGTCATAAGAGATCTGAATACGCACATAGTGACTTGGAAGTGGGAGATCAGTTCATGTGAAAGCATCACAGTAGAGAAAGACAAGGAGAAGGTTGCGTGAGAAGCAAACAGATGGGGCATTGTGGGCAACTTTAGATTCCTGAAGTTTTTAACTACTGCTGGTGTTCCTGATCAGCAAAAGTACATAGGATATTACCTAGACATTGCCATACTAGATCCGACATTTCAGCAGCAGAGGCCAATTCCTCTGAAGGGTGAAAAATATCTCATCAGCCAGTGGTGCAATTCTATACATTTGCAGAGACATTCCTTCCTGACCTCTGCTGCTCTGAAGCATGAGATTTTATTAGCCCATTTTAACATGTATCATAGGGTTGTCAGGGTTGGCCGCAGTAACTGGCCTCTACCACAGAGGGGCGGGAAGAGCAGCAGCTGCGGCTGGACCCACATGGAGGAGCTGCTCTCTGCTCAGCTGCTGATGCCTGACAGAGAGCAGTGGCTGGCTTCCGGACATAAGTGCTGACATCTACTGGCGCCAGTGGGTGCTCGACCCCCCCCCCCCTCTGCCCCCGCCCCCTCCCTGCCCCTATTCAAACTCCTTCCGCAAATCCCCGCCCTGGCCCTGCCTCCTCCCCTAAGCGCGCCACGTTCCCGCTCCAACCCACTCTTTCCTGGAGTTTGCTACAACTGTTTGGCAGCAGCAAGCGCTGGGAGGTGCAGAGCACCCACTAATTTTTCCCCATGGGTGCTCCAGCCCCAGAGCATCCATGGAATCGGCGCCTATGCTTCCGGATCAGGCTCCAAGAGGTAGGTGCTCCCACTGGGGAGGCGGGGGATCTTGTCCGCCCCCCCTTTTGCCCTACCCCCCGACTGCCCCAGCCCAGACCCTCGCTAGGTGGACTGGTCCCTCCCTGCCCTGGTGCCTTGCTCCAGGGACTGACCCCTGCCGTGTCCCACTGTGCCGCAACCCCTCACTATGGGGACCGACCCCCTCCCTCTACCCCAATTGGGCAGACTCCGCATCAGCTCCTCTGAGCGTGGCTCTGCATGCAGCAGGCGCGTCCCTGGAGAGGGGGGAATTAGCGCGGGGGAGAGAGGAGTGAGCAGAGAGCGGGGCCTTGGGGAAGAGGCGGGGCAAGGGTGTTCGGTTTTCAGCAGTTAGAAAATCTGCAACCCTAATGTACCACTACAGTTCTTATTATTAGTCATAAAATTACTCATCCTTTGCAGAAATCCTGAGGTGCAACTGACCTATTTGATAGAATGCAGGCCAGGCCCTCAGTACCAGCTATGTGGTCGAACGAATGTTACCCTACAACTCTGTGGTGTCATTGAGAAGATCCTGCAAGGGGTCCTGTACCCAGAGCGCCCAGGGGTGGTGAGAGTGCTCAGCACCCCACACCACTGCGTCAAATGCTTGTTTCTGTGAAGGACTGAGCCGGCTTGGGACTGAGCATATAGAAAACATCATCCAAGGCCAGGGGCGGGGAGTTATATGGGCCCACGGTGCCCATGCTCCAGGAATATTCTGGGCCCCGGGGGCCCGGCTCCACCACTGTTCGTGGCTGGGTCTCTCCCCTGACCCCGCCTGCCATCCCTGCACGCCTCCCCCGGAGTGTCTCCCAGCCACCCCCAGATAATTTAAAAGCACTCCAGAGCCCCCGGCTGCCACCACCGGCAGTGCAACGGGGCTGAGGCGCCTTCCTGCCCTCACTCTGCCCCAATCCCGGAAGCAGCTGGCACATGCCTGCAGCCCCGGGGCGGGGTGTGTGTGGCAGGGTTGTCTCTGTGCACTGCCCCCGCCCCAAGACCGACTCCACAGCTCCCATTGGCCAGGAATGGCAGCCAATGGGAGCTGGGGGGCAGTACCTGTGGGCAACAGTATGAAGAGACCTCCCGGCCCCTCCCCCCGCCTATGAGCCGCTGCCAGAGGGGTGTGCCGCTCACTTCCAAGAGCTGCCCAAGGGAAGCGCCTCACCCTCTCCCACACCCCAACCCTCTGCCCAGAGCCCAAGCCCCCTCCTGCACCCTAACCCCCAGCCCAGAGCCTGCATCCCAGCTCTCTCTCAGAGCCTGCTCTGCACCCTAACCCCCGCCCACAGCCTGCACCCAAACTCCCTCCCAGAGCCTGGGGGGGGGCGGGGGGTAAGTCTTGGACCCGCTGGGCTCCACCAAAACGTATACAAACCGGCCGCCCCTGGCCAAGCCAACCCCGCTTCAGGCGCCCTCCCAGCTCCTACAGTGAGGTGGCCTCTGCCCCGCAGCTGGGAGCTGGGGGCCAAACTCCCCGGGGTCAGGCGAGGGGAGTGGCGAGCCTGTCGAGCCGGCACTGAGCATGCGCCCAGCGGGGCAGTGGCTCGGGCTCTGAGCTCCCTGGTGGGTTGGCTCCTCCCAGGGTGGGTCCCCCGGGTGAGGCGGGGGGGAGGATGCACGATCTCCCCCCCCTGCCTGTGGCCGGGCTGGAGCCTGACAGGGCCCCGCCCAAGCTCCAGCGCTCCCTCCGCCGCCGGCCGGGCTCCGCGCGCGCGCCGAGTCCTCCCAGCCTGCAGGGGGCGCGGCGTCGCCCTCCCTGCGCCCCGTGCGCTCCGCTCTCTGGCCGGCCGCCCGGCCGCCGCCTCCTCCTGCTCGTCGCCGCGCGCGCGAGCCGCCTTGGCCTGGCCCAGCCCAGCGCAGCGCAGCCCCAGGGAAGGCGATGGCGGCCTCGGTGTTCTGCTGCCTGCGCTGGTGCGGGGACGGCGGCGCCGGGCACATCCCGCTGAAGGAGATGCCCGCCGTGCAGCTGGACACGCAGCACATGGGTAAGGGGGCGCGCCCCGCCCCGGGCAGGGACCCCCGCCGCAGGTCCCTTTCGCCCCGGTGGCGTGGGGGTGCGAGCTGGGGGTGAATAGTAAGGGTTTCTGGCGCCCCTGAGCTCCGTGGTTATTATTAATGGTAGGGGTGTGGCGCTTTCCCGGCAAAGAAGCGGCAAGGTGCCCGTGCTTTGCCTCTTTATATATTTTAGGGAAGTCTGTTGTGCCTGCGGGATGTCTTTAGTTCTGTGTACGTGGCAACGTTTTAAAAACCGATGTCCGAAAGTGGTCGTTAAGAGGGCTAGAAAACGATATTTAGAAGAATTCCCCCAAACCCCGAGGGCTGTCCCCGCTCAGGTGACCCCATTACGGAAGAAGCCTGGCTGAATCGTTAGGTGTTACAGTCTTTCACAAAGGTCACCAAACGCAGGGTCTGTCAGATCAACAAGGCAGCAGATTCCACCGTTGATTTGCTTTCGCGGAGAATGCCCTGTCTGGGCACAGTCAGCCTGAGTATTTATTATTATTTTACATTTATATTGCAGCAGCCTCTAAAGGCCACAGCCAGGTTGGGCCCAATTATGCTAGGCACTATACAAATATTTGACAAATGACCGTCCCTCACCAAAGAGCTTATGGTCCAAAGTGATCTTAGTTATATAGTAGTGAGGTTATGGCACAAAAATAAATGATCTCTAAGGCACACAGAGGATATGTCAAAAACAACACATTGCATTTCATTTGGAAACTAATTGCAATTTCATCGTCTCTGAAGTACTGGTGTAATATGATCCCAGCATGAAAATGTTGCTAAATAACCAGGCAGCAGTATTCTGCTCTAGTTTTAGTTCTAAAGCCGGGACTATAAATTGCTGGTCTACCAGTATGATTATGAGTACTTGTGGCACCTTAGAGACTAACCAATTTATTTGAGCATGAGCTTTCGTGAAGTGAGCTGTAGCTCACGAAAGCTCATGCTCAAATAAATTGGTTAGTCTCTAAGGTGCCACAAGTACTCCTTTTCTTTTTGCGAATACAGACTAACACGGCTGTTCCTCTGAAACCTGTCAGTATGATTATGTTGGTTGGGAAGTGATTTTTTTTTTTAACTGACATTGTTAAAGGTACCTTAAACCTATGTAACTTATTACCTTTCCCATATGGGAATAAACTATACCGGTATAAGGGCTTGGCTACACTTGCAAGTTACAGCGCAATAAAGGAGCCCCGGGTGCACTAGCTCACTACCCGTCCACACTGGCAAGGCACATAGAGCGCTCTGACTCCACGGCTACAGCGAGTGGAATAACGTTTGCTGCGCCCCCGCTGGAGCGCCATGGTGCCAATGTGAATGAGGTGTTGCTTTACTGCGCTCTGATCAGCCTCTGGAAATGTCCCATAATCCCCTTAAGTCAAGTGGCCACTCTTGTCAGTGTTTGGAATCGGCTGTAGGTATGCAGAAATGCCCTTGAAAACTCCATTTCTGACAGCCGGCTGCTTATCTCCTCCGAGACAAAGTAACCATTACTGTGGAATGCTGTCTGTGAGAGAGAGAGAGAGAGAGAGAGAGAGAGGCGGGTGGGGGGGTCTGCTGCTCTCTGAATTTACAAGACAACATGCTGACATGCTCTCAGCCCCCCAAAAACCCACTCTCTCTCCCCCACATACACACAACACACTCCCTTCTCACACCCCACCCCACCCCCATTTGAAAAGCACGTTGCAGCCACTTGCATGCTGGGATAGCTGCCCATAATGCACCACTCCCAATGCCACTACAAGTGCTGCAAATGTGGCCACGCCAGTGTGCTTGAAGCTGTCAGTGTGGACAGACTGCAGCGCTTTCCCTACTGCGCCCTACAAAGACTGGTTTAACTCAAGGGGCTCTACATCTGCAAGTGTAGCCATGCCCTAAGTTACTGTTATAACTGTGTCCATGCAAGGGTATGTTTGCTGCATTAACTATTTTAGTATAGTTAAAGTGGTACAACTTTTGTGCTAAGACAAGGGTGGAGTGGTCTTCCGCTGTAGTCCTGCGTAAAGGGCATTGCAACAAACCAATTAAGAAAGGCCTACTCCTTGCCAAACAAATATTTAAAAAATCATCTTGGCTAGAAAACATCCAGGCATCCTCAGAAATTATTGGACTGGCTTTTGAGGACTTTGTCTTATCTGTGCCTATACTGACATGCTTATTAGAGCTTTTGAGCAAAAATCTTCCACGGGAGAGTGTAGTATTTAGCAGAGCTCAATGTTCTGATCTGTGTGCTGGCAGGTACCTTTTTAAAGGAAGCTCGCAATCAAACCCTTAAAAGGAATCTTACTTATTGATTAATTCTTGGTGACCACAACTCATGAAAAGCCTTCTGCAGAATGTGCCTATCCTTCAGTTCTAGACCAAGAAAAGGAGGTGATTTAGAGAAAGGCATGAGCCCTGCATCCCCTTTCTCTTAGTGAGTGTCTTTCTAATTAAATGATTGTAAGCTATGCTGCTGGGATATTTGAGGAAATGTTGTAATCAACATGCTGCCTTAAAGCCTGAGAGGAGAAATTAAAGAATATAGATTTTAAATAGATGAACTCTAGCTGAAAGATGAACTAGCCTATAAACACATCCTTTCTTTACCTGAAAGCACTGCACAACCTAATTCTGATAGACTAATGGAGCTCTTACTTGGGGTTGAAAGAGAAAATAGTTCTTGTTGTTTAGGGGTTTTAGTGGATGTCTCCAAACTTTAAAAAAAAACAATGTTTTTTGAAGTTTGTGTATTTTATTTGTATATGCAGGAACAGATGTCGTCATTGTCAAAAATGGCAGAAGAATATGTGGCACGGGGGGTTGCTTAGCCAATGCACCTTTGCATCAGAACAAGAGCTATTTTGAGTTTAAAATCCAATCCACAGGTTAGTTAGCAAAATTATTTTCTACTTTAGATTGGGATTTGAGATTTGACTACAAGCAGGCAACGCATCTGCACCTTTGGTAATTAAGTGCACTTCATCTTTGGACTACTACCATGAGAAATAACACACTTCACAAATATCAAACTTTTGTAAGACACTAAACTGTCATCTTGTAAGAAAGATTTGTCATTTTTCTATTTTGCTGCTTTGATTTATTAAAAACAATAGTAATTGAAATGACTAGAGTTGCAGTATTAAAACACTACCATGTTTGAAAACTCTTGTATATATGTTTTTTCAATAAACCTAATTTAGAGCTACTTTCTGCTAAATTCTTTTTTATTTATATTGCATTATGAGCATGTAAAATACTGTGTACATAGCTCTTGTACTTTTTGTCCAATAATATTTGCTGTCTGTCTACATTTATTTGCTATTTTAGAATGGATCCAGATTCTTCTCCTTTAGCTTCTTGTGGGAATGATTCTGTGCTTAGAAATGCAGCAGAGAACTCACAGCTTGGGAGTGCGGGGCTTAAATGTGGTTTTAAGCCACCTTTGTGTCCTCCCAGTTCTGGGCTGGTTCTGGGACTGAAGCATCCCCAGCATAATTTAGACAGCCCCAGGCTGCCGTATGAGCTGCTGCACTGTCTGAAATCACTGGTGTATATATGCTGTGGCCATGACCCCGGCATTCCCCCTATGCCAAGGCTTGCAACTGTGTCCTCAGAGACATCCTTTTGGTTATCTTCTGCCGTTCCTTTGCCCCAGGAATCCTCCCCCAGTGAGAACTGCTGCTCTAATCATTTTAGGTGATAACTGGGTCAGAGTGAGGGCTAAGACTTTTACTCCATAACTTTTATTTTGATGGCTCATAAAAGAAAAACGCTGAGATACAGCATGTTTTGGAAGGATATTTTTAAGTCTGTCTCAACCTAGTGAATGTAATTGCTAATGCTTTTCAAATTAAAATTCACTCATGATATTGCTGTCATTGTGGCACACACCTGGAGTATATTTCTTACTCTCAGTGTGAGATTTCAAAAGAAACAAATAAGTGTTCACAGAATATCGTCGTCATATTTTCAGGGGTTTGGGGTATTGGAGTTGCAACCCAGAAAGCAAATTTGAATCAAATTCCACTTGGTCGAGATGTGCATAGTTTAGTGATGAGGAATGATGGAGCTCTCTACCACAACAACGAGGAGAAGAACAGGCTGCCGGCAAACAGCCTTCCCCAGGAGGGTGACATTGTGGTGAGTTTCCTTAGTTCTTGTTAATGTAAATTTGTTGCTCTGTCTAAATAGCTCAACAATAGATGTTTCTGGGATTTTCCAAAGCAGCTTTTGCTGTCAGCACTGTTGCAAGGCTAAAGGGAATACAGTGAATCCTTGTGAAAGGCTAGCTTTCCATGCAAACAAGAAAATTAAACACAGAATTTTATTGAAGCCCTGAAAAGTGAATATCTGATAAAAGGATTAAACCTATTAAATTAATATGCTTGCAGTGCATCAGAAGGTAATATTCAGTAGATATTGAGTTGTAAAAAATGTAGGCTTATTAAATGAGTACTTCTAATATTTCATACTAAAAATCATTATAGAACAATGCAACCCTTCAGAATTGTAATCATTTAGTAAAACATAGTTATGTATTTATCATGAGGTCTTGTGCCAGTAATTCTCCCTAAGTTAGGCATGTTCCTTCCTCACTGTCTTTTCTAATCCACATCATTAGCAGGGGCATAGTTGGAATAGAATTTGGTTCCAATACTTTTTGGGGAGTAATGGGTAGAGGAAAGTGCTGTTCAGGGTCAAATATTCCTTACTTTTCTTCTCCCCAACTCTCTCTCCCTTTCATAGATCCCCCCCACCACCACCTTTTCTGGAGAAGTAAGATAGACATGAAGGGGCTCATACCCTCTTGCCTGCCCTCTTGTTCATCAGAAGTACACTGGCCCTTTAAGTGTTTGCTCTTCTAGCCTTTCAGTTCAGCTCCCACTATCCTCGGATCCTTATGCTGTCTTCCTCCTAGGCGTGGCAGCAGGCCCTTAGAGAGTCCAGTCTTCCTGCTACCTCATGGTGTGCAGGAGGAAGGATACCCATTTAGTCTGGTGGGTTTTCCCCTGCAGTCTCACTCCAGTCCTCAAGAGGTTTCTAGTCCTGCTCCTTTGGTGGCTTCATGCCAGTTTACTGCTGATGCAAAGTAGTCCTGTGCCTGGATTGCTTATTTCAAGTGTGGCAGGTCAATTAACCACACCTGGGGAGGTAGCTATTCTGTCCCTTTACCCCTTAGTGACTGTGACAGAATGGGTTTTATATACCCCATCACAATAGTGCTTCATTGCTACCCACTGCTACTAGGGTTGATGAATTTGCCTATAAACCTGACGGGGCCATCACCCGTAGAGATTCCAAGCTCTTTGTGGCTGGGCTCCCTGCTCAAAGATGTCCCAGAATGCACTGGAGATTGAGATGAGATTGTACCCAGGGAGCACAAGAGCTCTTTGTTGGTCTATGCTTGGTTAGCAGGCAGAGGGAGTGGCCCTAGCAGCCTTGGAAGAAGATTTGTAGCAAAGGTATTGGGATAAAGGGGTTGTATTTTTAGTCAAGCTGGGATTCAATTTAGAAAAGAGAGAGAAAATTAGACTGGGGATAGGGAGAAAAAAATGTTGGAAAGATGAATGAGAGGGACTTGGGAATCTATATGGCTCATGCTCCCTCTCACGCCTCAACACTTCTAAAATATATTTAAAATTACCCTGTATATTTAAAGGGGTCTACTGTATTACTACTTTTTTAACATTATTAGAATTTTTTTTATATACACGGAAGTGTTAAGATTAACATTGTTTCTAATACCAACTTTTTCAATATCTTTTATTAATTGCTGATGTTTGTGAGTTTCATATACATAGATTATTGCCAGGTATCTGAAGTTTAAAAAAAAATCCCCTGCTTAGGTGGCTTGCTTGGGAGAGAATCTTGCTGTGTTGCAGTCTCTTTAAAGGCTCACTCAAACTATTTAGTCTGCAAAGCTGAAGTTAAAACACTTGAAGGATAATAAGTAACAAATGCATTACTTTGCTAACTGCCTGAGCTCTGTAGATTCACAATTTGAGCTAAGTTGGTTAGCTTCTGTTCGTCAAATAAGTCGATTGTTATTGCTGCTGTCCCCTGATTGGATAAGCCTGCAAGCACTTTTGGTGCTTGTGAGTTCAAATATAATTAAATATTCTTAATTATTGACTTTTTAAGCGTCCAGAAAAATGGTCTATTGCATTCTTTTAGGAGACTGTGGTTTATGCCGTCGTATTAGAAACTGCCCATGGTGTCCAGCTAGATTAGCTGTAAAAAAGAAATAGTTGTAAGCATTCTCACGTATATCAACTTGATGATCTTATGTTAACATTTCCTATTTTGCCTTATAGGGTATTACATATGACCATGTAGAATTAAATGTATATTTAAATGGAAAGAATATGCATTGTCCAGCTTCAGGAATCAGAGGGACTGTCTATCCTGTAGTATATGGTAAGTTGGGTTCTCAAACTTTTTCAGTGTGGTCAATCTTAATAGCAATATTCTCTCAAACCACCTATTAGTTTTAGTCCTGTGAATATTGTGTTATTGGGATTCTGGCTGCCAGACACCACATTGGTTAGAATGGGAGAACAGACTTTTGTTAGGTAGCTAACATGTCATCTTCCCATTGCTTTGGAAATGGAGTTACAGTGGAGAGAATTTAGACTTCGGGAGTAGTCACAGTAGTAGACAACGGGTAGTGGTCAATGGCTCCATGTCTAGTTGGCAGCCGGTATCAAGTGGAGTGCCCCAAGGGTCGGTCCTGGGGCCGGTTTTGTTCAATATCTTCATAAATGATCTGGAGGATGGTGTGGATTGCACTCTCAGCAAATTTGCGGATGATACTAAACTGGGAGGAGTGGTAGATACGCTGGAGGGGAGGGATAGGATACAGAAGGACCTAGACAAATTGGAGGATTGGGCCAAAAGAAATCTGATGAGGTTCAATAAGGATAAGTGCAGGGTCCTGCACTTAGGACGGAAGAACCCAATGCACAGCTACAGACTAGGGACCGAATGGCTAGGCAGCAGTTCTGCGGAAAAGGACCTAGGGGTGACAGTGGACGAGAAGCTGGATATGAGTCAGCAGTGTGCCCTTGTTGCCAAGAAGGCCAATGGCATTTTGGGATGTATAAGTAGGGGCATAGCGAGCAGATCGAGGGACGTGATCGTTCCCCTCTATTCGACATTGGTGAGGCCTCATCTGGAGTACTGTGTCCAGTTTTGGGCCCCACACTTCAAGAAGGATGTGGATAAATTGGAGAGAGTCCAGCGAAGGGCAACAAAAATGATTAGGGGTCTGGAACACATGAGTTATGAGGAGAGGCTGAGGGAGCTGGGATTGTTTAGCCTGCAGAAGAGAAGAATGAGGGAGGATTTGATAGCTGCTTTCAACTACCTGAAAGGGGGTTCCAAAGAGGATGGCTCTAGACTGTTCTCAATGGTAGCAGATGACAGAATGAGGAGTAATGGTCTCAATTTGCAGTGGGGGAGGTTTAGATTGGATATTAGGAAAAACTTTTTCACTAAGAGGGTGGTGAAACACTGGAATGCGTTACCTAGGGAGGTGGTAGAATCTCCTTCCTTAGAGGTTTTTAAGGTCAGGCTTGACAAAGCCCTGGCTGGGATGATTTAACTGGGAATTGGTCCTGCTTCGAGCAGGGGGTTGGACTAGATGACCTTCTGGGGTCCCTTCCAACCCTGATATTCTATGATTCTATGAGTAGGTAGCTTTCATAAACAGTCTACTTGCTGCAGCAGGGACTTGGGCACCCTGGTCTGTACCTTTTTTTTTAAACTTCCTCATCCTTTCTCCATGCCTAATCCCACACCACTGAAGTTTTAGGCTTCGGTGTGAGGTGACTTTTTATTGCCAGACTCCCTCGCCTGTCATCATCTTTCAAGAGCTGACATAAATTCCCAAGAATTTCCATGCTTCACAATGGATTAGTTTATTGCTATAACACCTGATGATTTGCAAATTACATTCAGGTGACACCTCCATGTTACAAATTACAAGTAATAAAACCCTTAATTTAATGCTATGTATTCATAGGCATCTGAAAGGAGAAATTGCTCTCAACCATTTAATTTATCGATGTTTCAGACCAGAATCGTAGAGATTTTTAAAATAAACTCAGTACAGAAGTTAAATGATGTCATGTATGGGAACTTATAACACAAGTCAAATTCAAAGTTGCTTCCTTCAGCAGCTGAACCCCAGGCACATCTGCACAAATATTAAAGTGTAAAGTCAACACACACATAACACAAGATAGTACTTGTGAGCTCAGTTAAGGCTGCTGTGGGAAAAGCCAAATATCTTGACTCCAGGATATCTAAATGCTTGACCAAAATATTATATTTGGTTTTGTTGTTCGTTCTTTTTTCTTTTTCTTTTTCTTTTTCTTTTCTTTTTTTTTTGGTGGGGGGGGAGGGTAGGAGGAATTGGAATTGATATACTGCTGTCACATGAGGTGTGGCTTAGAGGAATGTTTCTTTTAAAGACTCATTAACTAAATGGATCTGATTTTTCTGATGAGCAGTGCTACACTATGAAGTATACTTCTCTAAAGCTGCCTGTGAAGTATTGCTGCAGTTAATGATCTGTCAGAATTTCCATTTTAATCCTCTAATACTCCACCTAGAATCAGGCAGAAAGTCTCGTGGCAATATTATTGTTTTGAATGGTTTATTTTTAAAATCCAGGTGTCTAAAAATAACAGTCAAGCAGGGTTCTGATGTCCTAACCTCAGCAGATGGCTTGACACCAAGCAGGGGAATGGGAAGCATGTCATAGAGATGCATCCTCTTTCATGTCTCGCCATTACCACGTTTGGCCTGTGGACTTCCAAAGTAGTGGAGGGGGAAATGAGGGCCCTAGAAGTTGAGGAGAGTTGCTTTAAGGCTTATTAGCACTCTCAGTAAAATTCATAGCAAAACTTTCACTGATTTCAGCGAAGTCTTTTGCAAATCTAAGTATTCTGTAGGAAGTAAACATGATTTGGCCTTCTTGATTAACCAAGAAGATCCTATTTGTCTTTACTGCATGGATGTTACTGATATATTGGTGAATATCCTTTGTGTTTCAGTTATTGTGGACACACAATGTATTGATGTATATAATCTAATTTGGTGTCATGTATAGTCAAAATAAATGCTGTTCTCCTCTAATTATTTTTCTCTTTGCTTCTGTCCTACAGTAGATGACAGTGCCATCTTGGATTGTCAGTTCAGTGAATTTTATCACACTCCTCCAACAGGGTTTGAAAAAATACTCTTTGAGCAGCAAATCTTCTGAACGTCTTCATACTGAAAACTTGCACCCCTACACTGTTATAAAGCCTTTGCCATCTTAAATAAAGCTTCACGTTTACCTGTAGGAAACACATCTGTATTTTTTAGTAAAGTACTTGTGACTGTTGTCTGAAGAACCAAAGTGTTAACTGCAACACCAGAGAATTGTGTTACAAATGGTAGATTTTGACAACTGTTTTGTGATGTGAAAATCAGTGTTTTGGGGCAGTTTTCTGATTTGTATTTGATGTAAATGGAAACTAAAGGGTATAATTGCCACAGTATTAAATGAACTTTTGGTTTCAATTTGAGCTTTATAAAGGGAATAATTCATATGCGTGACAGTATGTTTCCATAAAGCTACAGGGATAGATAGTTGTCTCATGATTTTTCCTGTTCCTTCCCACTCAGAAGTTATGTACCTTGTAAAAAGAGAGCACTGTGCTAATAGTCTGTTTGGATTGCTATGTCCTTGTTTTGCACAATGACTAATGATACGATTGGCAGCTAGATTTTGTTTTTTCTTTTGAAACTTGTAACCTACCCATTTCTAGTTGTTAAACAGCTAATATTCCTCTTGAGTTTAGATAAATCTCATAGCTTTTCATTTGCTTTAAGTGTGACAGAATACTTTTTAGTAACAGTCAAAACATTATTTTGTTGTAAAAAAGCAAACCTAAACACAAGATGTATTTATGAAGACCATCATGCTGTGTTACTCTGGTGGCAGAGTAGGTACAGATTGTTTAATTGTGATGTATACAATGGCAGGGATGGTATGTTGGATATTACGATGAAGCTTTACATCTAAACTGTAAATCAGATTCTTTATGGAATATTTTATTTAAATGTTTTTTTTCTGGAACCAGTAATAAAATGAATAATGGTTAACGTGCTGTTCCAAAACGTGATTCCGATAACTATAAAAGATCAGGTGATGCTTTCCTTGTCATGTATGCAGTATGCTTGTCATGTGTGCAGTATGCACCTTTTCATATTTTTTGCAAAGAAAACCTTTTTGTATATCCTGGTGTGTGGGGGTGTGTGTGTGTGTGTATTAAAAACTTTTAGTAAGATTTTTTTTTTTGGCTGTCCATGGACTAACGCATTTATATGATGAGTGAATGCTGTGATGCCTTTAAATATTTGAGGTTCTTTTATTCTGAACTTTTCAAATACAGCTGACTTTCTCTGAGCCTTTCTTTCGCTTCATAATTTTCTATATTTGTTTAAAGACTTCTCCTTGGCCTCAAAGGCCCAACGTTTCCTTTACCATGCTGTGATCTCCCAGTGCTGAAATTGACACAACAACAGATGATGCCATAAGGCCTAGCTCATATCTAGAGCATGATGCCTCTTCAATAGTATCGTATAAGATTAGGAATATTTGGGGATTGGGGTGAGAATGGAGAGGGTTAAATGCTCTTCCCCTGAAACTTGCAATATTAGCCACTTGTGGAACATTCTTTTGGGGCATGACTGTCTTTGTGCCATATATCAGCTGAGACAAATCATGATGCTTCTGCAATCAAATTTGTCCATTCTTGAAATTGGAAAGGAATTTATTGGGGGGGGGTTGAATTTCCATTCTTGATGCTTCTCCTTTAGTAATGTCTCCATGGTCCTTTGTGCCATGTGAAAGAATAGGAAGATGAAATGAAAGTACTTGATATGGAATTAAACTTGCTGGTATTTTTTGGGGAAGGGAGAAGTATTTAAAGAAATTATAACCACTGTATCTAACTTCAAAGAACAAATAACTAAAAAATGTGTTTTTAATTTATTAAAGAATACTTAACATACAGGAAGCTGCCATCCTGAGTCTGATGTAGAGTAAGACAGAGAATCCAGGTCCTGTTTGAAAGCACAGAGAAGACAGTCTTCAAAATTGTAAATTCTACTTTTAAAATGTTTTGATAAACGTAAGTGTTTAAATCAGTTGTTAAATTATCCAAAAAAAATTAAGAGCTTACTCTTACATCTTAGGAAGTTGCTGATTTCCCGTTATTTTAAATGTAATGTGAATTTTCTGTCCTATTGTACATATGGCTTTCCTCCTCTTATAAAATAACACATTGAGAGTCACTTGAGAACCATATGAAGTAATGGAGAACATTGCATTTACTGTTTGTGAATCTGTCAATATGTAGAAAGAGTGCACTTTTTACCTGCTAACGATAATCTTAAAATACTTTGAAAAAGTAGATGATACTGTTCACCTATTTTACAGGTGAGAAAAGAGGCACAGAGATTAAATGACTTGGCCAACATCTCATAGCAAGTCAGTTGAAGACCTAGAAATAGAACGATGCTTCCAGTCCTATGCCTTGTCCAGTGGAATGGACTGTAATGGATGCCTCTAAAAATTGCTCTGGTAATCAATTTTTAATAATAGAGTTAGCTAAATATTTACCAAGTAGTAAAGGTGTTAACCAGAAAGAATCATCATTGTTTTTAATTGGAAGTGTTAAGGCTTTTCCATTAATTATTGTTTGCACCCATGTTTGTTTAACCTTTGAATGTTCAGACATAGGCAGCCTGCTGTAGCAATGTGTAACACTTTATGCTGTACGTTTTCTAGTCCTTGGCAGCAAAATTTTCAGTTGATAGGTCTGTGCATCAACTACTAAATAGGCTTGCCAGAGCATGTAATCCAGTTTGCATGTTTATCAGCAGCATTCTTATTTATACAGTACGATGGCTGTGTATGGTATTTTGCAGATAAATAAAATGAGGCTCCTATTTCAAGGATCTTAAAATCCAAATTAGATCGCATAAAGTTAGGAAGGACGAATGAGGAGAGGGTTGGGAGGACAAAGATTGTAACAATGTATATCGGGAGATATCAATGTTAAGTATGATGATCAAGATCTGATGCAGTTGTTTGCAGTGAATAATTCAATTAATTGAACCCTTGTTTCTGTTGGTAAATTATCCATGATCTGATTTTCACAAGTTTACTCGTTATTCAATGAAAAGTTTATGCAAACATACTTCAGCTTCTATGAGCCATCAAAGAAGAATTTGTTGTTCATGCTGTTCAATGGGTCTTTCGAGTCCCATGAATGCTTCTACTCCCAGATCCATACAGAGCCTTCAAAGATGGCTTTGCAAACCCTCTGGTGATAATATACCTGAATGAGAGTATATGCAATATTTTCCCTTTATGCAAACTTGCTTTGCAACAAAAAACAAGGAAAAGAGATCTGAATATGATTGATGTGAATGCTTGAATTTTATTCAAATGAATGTTTATATTATTGCGGTGTTATTTCAGCTCTTATCCATCCACACTGTGTTGATTCCTCTTTTCATAGCTGCAATTGATTAAACTGGAGATTGAGATTACAGAAATTCACAAGAGAACACACTACTCCTCTGTACTTGTATTCTTCCGCATTTCTTTACATATCAGCTCACTGTAGACTGGGCAAAATCACAAATTATCCAGATTCATATGCATTTTTGATCTACCTACAACTGTAGTTGCCATTCCTTTTGGCTTTGTATTAACTAAAAATTTAATTTAAATTCACATTTCCTTTAGTTTGTTTACAAAAATGTTGAAGAATAGCTGCAGTTTTGAAGTGAGGATTCATTAGATAATATTTTGGCCAACTAAAGATTGTGGAATCCCACGTAGCTGGAGCTTTCATCTGGCATTTATTGATCAGATTTTATACCTTGACCACTTTCTCTGGCGTACACTCTGCTGACTTGCCTATGACAAGCAATTTTCACCAATTCATCTACATTTTGCCAAAGTTTATTTTGGCCCAGATATACTCCCAAACAAAACTAGTGCAACGGTTATCCATGGTAACATTTTTTCACTGATGAAAAGAACCCAAGTTATCCAATTCCAAGTTCAGATATTTTAAGGCTGAAGGGAATTCAGATTTCCCAGCAACAGAGGTTTTAACATGTTTTGCTCGCCAATTGTACTGGAGCATCTAAGAAATATGACTCAATCTTTGTTTCTTGCAGCTAAGAGCTCTTTTCTGCTGAACTGCCAGACTTTTCCATGGAAGTGACTTGGCATCCACTCTTGCTTACACTGTGAATATAATCTTGAGTTAGACTGTGTGCACAATTCAACCATATTATAATTTTCCTTAACTTGTACTGGAAGTAGAGAGCAGTGACGTTAGATTTATTTATACAGCGTCTCATAAGAACGGCCATACTGGGTCAGACCAAAGGTCCATCTAGCCCAGGATCCTGTCTTCCGACAGTGGCCAATGCCAGGTACCCCAGTGGGAATGAACAGAACAGGTAATCATAAAGTGATCCATTTCCTGTCGCTCATTCCCAGCTTCTGGCAAACAGAGGCTAGGGACACCATCCGTGCCCATCCTGGCTAATAGCCATTGATGGACCTATCCTCCATGAATTTATCTAGAGCAGGGATCAGCAACCTTTGGCACACCGCCTGCCAGGGTAAGCCCCCTGGCGGGCCAGGCCGGTTTGTTTACCTGCTGCGTCCGCAGGTTCGGCCAATCACAGCTCCCAGTGGCCTGGAGAGGTGAACCATGGCCAGTGGGAGCTGCGATTGGCCGAACCTGCGGATACGGCAGGTTGCCGATCCCTGATCTAGTGCTTTTTTGAACCCTGTTATAGTCTGGGCCTTCGCAACATCCTCTGGCAAAGAGTTCCACAGGTTGACTGTGCATTGTGTGAAGAAATATTTCCTTTTGTTTGTTTTAAACCTGCTGCCTATTAACTTCATTTGGTGACCCCTAGTTCTTGTGTTATGAGAAGGAGTAAATAACACTTCCTTATTTACTTTCTCCACACCAGTCATGATTTTATAGACCTCTATCATATCCCCCCTTAGTCGTCTCTTTTCCAAGCTGAAAAGTCCCAGTCTTATTAATCTCTCCTCATACAGAAGCCGTTCTATATCCCTAATCATTTTTCTTGCACTTTTCCAATTCCAATATATCTTTTTTGAGATGGGGCAACCACATCTGCATTATTCAAGGTGTGGGCGTACCATGGATTTATATAGAGGCAATATGATATTTTCTGAGTTATTATCTATCCCTTCCTTAATGATTATCAACATTCTGTTAGCTTTTTTTAACTGCCGCTGTGCATTTGAGTGGATGTTTTCAGAGAACTATCCACAGTGACTCCAAGATCTTTCTTGAGTCGTAACAGCTAATTTAGACCCCATCATTTTGTATGTGTAGTTGGGATTATGTTTTCCAATGTGTATTACTTTGCAGATGAAATTAAGTGTTAATAAATGCAATTTTGTTGCCCAGTCACCCAGTTTTGTGAGATCCTTTTGTAGTTCTTTGCAGTCTGCCTGGGACTTAACTCCCTTGAGTAGTTTTGTATCATCTGTGTATTTTTCCACCTCACTGTTTACCCCTTTTTCCAGATCATTTATGAATATGTTGAATAGGACTGGTCCCAGAAGAGACCCCGGGGGACACCACTATTTACCTCTCCCCATTCTTAAAATTGACCATTTATACCTACCCTTTGTTTCCTATCTTTTCACCAGTTACCAATCCATGAGAAGACCTTCCTTCTGATCCCATGACAGCTTACTTCTCTTAAGAGCCTTTGATGAGGGACCTTGTCAAAAGCTTTCTGAAAATCGTCTGAAGTGTCTCTCATACTAAAATGCTGGAACTTCAGAAGATAATGGCTATTCATGAGAGATTTCAAGGGACTATAATGTTCCTTGAATCTTCTTATACCACAGCCCATCTCACTGATCACAGCGAAGGACATCAAATGTCTAAGCAGCTCTTCTTCCTTGTGACTAAGGGTATGTCTACACTATGAAATTAGGTCAATTTTGTAGAAGTCTATCTTTAGAAAGCGATGTTATACAGTCGATCATGTATGTTCCCACTAAGCACAGTAGGTTGGTG